GAATCCTAGGTTGAATTTTCAGACCCAAGATAAACAGTAAAGAATAATCGATTAACAATCTCTTATGGAGATTTAGGAGTGAAGGTATCATCTTCTACAGTTTTACGTAATTATTGCAATACTTTAATATGAGTTTAATGATCATTATCAACACTATTAATAGTTTTAAATATTTTATTAGCCATAAAAAATACAGATAATGCAGTAGCACTACTATCTAAACCTCCTGATAATGGTAACATAAATCCACAGGCTCCAGATCTTCTCAAATAATCCCATAAGTAACAAGCTATTGAATCCTCAATTTCTGATTCATATTAAATAGGAATATCATGATAATAAACATAATTTTATTACTAGGTTAGATTAATATCAAGTTTGACTCTAGGGAAATGTTTTTATTTAGAAGCCATAAGAGATCTACTCTTAATATTGATTCTAATGTTCCTTACTTCTTGTAAATCTATATCACATGTTGTAACTTCTACATCTTTAAGTGAGAAAGCATCACTTTTGGCAAATACTTTACCATTTAAAACAATACATGAACATCCATCAAAATACAATCTATTACCATCACATCCTCTAAGATTACAAAATGCATAACAAGCACCATTTCTTTTTGTTATATCTTTGAATAATTCTGTTCTCTCTTTAATTTTACCAACTTCATAATGAGATCCACTTGAATTTAGAATTATTTCTGCTCCATCTAATGCTTAATTTGCACTTGTTGGAATAGGTGTCCACATTTCTTCACATATTTCTATTCCAATTTCTGTGTCAAGAGTTTACAAAATAGCAACTCCTATTGGAACACATTTTTATCCTGTGGCTTTTTAAATTATAGGAGGTAGATCTAGATCCTCAATTTCTTTACTCCATGGAGTGAAATATCTAGACTCTCTATAATTTCCATCATCAGCCATATACATTTTTGGTCTTATTAAGTGAATCTTTTTGTTTAACAAAATCATTCTACAATTATAAAATACACTTTTATGTATTACTGGCATTCCTATATCACAAACAATATTATCTGTATGTGGAAGTATCTCTAAAATGGCTTCCCTATTATAATTAATCAAATTTATACCAACAATGAGTAACTGTATCTGATTCCAAAAAATGATCTTCACACATATACCCACATATCTCTAATTCAGGACCTAATCGATATAAACATTATTTTCTTTTGCATATTTCTATGCTTTCAATAATATTCTAAACATTTTGACTAAAGTCCATTGCCCATTAATTTAATGTACATACGCCTAATCTTGTTATTGACATATTATTAATTTATATATGGAATTTGCTTTTTTTCTTTTTGTAAATCCCACTTCTGGTGGAAATCGGGCAGGCGTGTATCTTTAATTAGATGCAGAAACAATTAAATTTAATCTTAATCAAAAACCAATCAATGTTTATTTCACCAGTCTTCATTAAAGAGACTAAGTCGAGATGAATCTAAGAAGAATTAAAGAATTCCAATAACGAAATGTGTAAGTTAGAGTAATTGTTTGTGGAGGTGATGGTACTGTTATGTGGGTAGTTGATGAAATGCATAAACATGGAGTTGACTATTCTAATTGTCCTATAGGCATAATTCCTTTTGGAACAGGAAATGATTTTTCAAGGGTTTTAGGATGGGGTGGAGATACAGATGGTGACTTAGGGGCATGTCTAAGAAACTTTAAACAATAAATATCATAGTGGCTTAATGCTAAAATACATGATTTTGATCTATGGGAAATAAATATAACAGTTGATGCATAAACTGGATCTTTTAAAAGAATTAAAAAATAAGGAGATTTATTCCAAAAGGAAATACTTTAAAAAGACAAAGATGTATTAAAATAATTAGATAAAAGAATGTCAAATTATTTTTCTATAGGAGTAGATGCTCGTATTGGATTTGGTTTTGATAAAAAAAGAACTTAATCTGCCTGTTGTAATAAATGTGTTTATTTTTGTGAGGGTCTTAAAAAAATGTGTCTCAAAAATCCAACTACAAATCAAGTTATTTAAGGTATGCAAATTTTAAAAGAATAAAATGTAACAATAGAATAAATTACTGCTACTGTTCCTACTGATATATTATTTAAGACAAAAGGTGTCAATACAAGAGAAGATTAATAACCTCTTAATGAATCTAAGTTTATATTAAGTGGAGATCCAGTTACATTATTATGTTTAAATATCCCATCCTATTCTGGTGGAGCAGGAGCCATTTGGGATAATTGTAGAGGAAAGGTAGCTGTTAAAGAAGGTACTTAGAAACTATAAGATAAATTTGTCAATTAGGATTTTGGAGATGGAAAAATAGAGTTTGTGGGTTTTAATTCTATGATAGGAATGGCTAATGAAAGGTTTTAAATTTATTATTATATTATAGATTTATTCATGGAAATGCAGTTAGGATTGCATAGGGAGAAGGACCCTTTTTAATCTCGTTTAAAAAAAATGTTTCTCCTTATTTCTAGATTGATGGAGAATATTTTTAAGCTGTTAATCCTACTTTGGCATTATTAAAAAGGTCACCTATACGTATAAAAGTTCTTATGAAAGCATAAAATTGATAATTAATTATATAATTATTATTATTATTTTATATAAAAACATAATGGATGTGGAATTAAGATTATAATACTTAGCACCATAAATGCATATTGAATAAATAAGCATATTTATTACACTTACAACTACTGATAATTTAATCTAATCAGTTAGTAAAACAATCTAACTTAAATCTGATCAGTTTACTTTATTTCTTTTTAAATATGGCTTCCAGGTTTTCTTTATTTATATTAAAGATTCGCATAGTTCATGGTTGGGATATTGATAATATAGAACCTCTAGATATTTTATCTATTAAAGTTCTAGATCCTCATTTATCTTTTTCTCTTATAAAAGAGAAAAAACATTCAGAAGTAGATTTTAGTCCATATTTTTTTGAAGAATCTCATAATGATAAATAAATAAATTTGTATGATACATTTGTAGATAGAATCAAAGCTAATAAATTGGATTATATTGAAAAGCATTTAAATAAAGAAATAGCTAATCAAACAAATAAAGAAGGCTGGACGTTATTGCATTGGATTTGTTATTTTGGTAAATTAGAAATTTTGAAAGTCTATTTACCTTTTTGTTTAGATATCAATTAAGAAACTTTAGATGGATGGACTGCATTAATGATATCTATAAGATAATAGCATCTCTAAAGTAATGTTCAATTAATTATTTAGTAACTAGGTATTTGTTAAATTAGTAAAGTATCAATCCAAATTTAGTAACTTAATAGAGTAGTGCTCTTCATTTAGCATGTAGAATGGAAAACACTAAAATCATTTAAATGCTATAAGAAAAAGATGTTGATTTTTTAATTTAAGATCGTTAAAATACAAATGTGTTTAATATTGCATCTTTGAAAATGTAATTGTTTTTATTGGGATTGGTTAATAAAATGCCATTAGTAACAGAAATCTAATTATTTTCCTAAATCAATCCATTTATTGCAAAAGGAACTTATTTTTCACCTGGTTCAAGTCCTTGGACAATTAAATAAAGATATTTAGTCATAAATCCTTTAGGTGATCATTTAATAAGGTATACAGATAAATGTTAGACTGAAATTAGAGAATCAATAAAATTATCTTAAATTTAATAGGTCAATTCTAATTATTCAAGTTTTAAACTTAAAAAAGGATATTTTTATATATAATTACAAGGAGAGAGTCATCATGATTTAATAATAGGTTTACCAACAATTGATCATTTATCAAGATGGTCAGCTCTTATTAAAAAAGGTATAACCTATACAAAAAATGTTGCTACTGGATTGTAACTAAACAATATATTCATTAAATTAGAAGAAATCGACTTAGATTCTCCTCCTTCAAGTATTGCTCCAAAAAGAGATAGTTAGACACCCATAAGACGTAAGATTTCTGATTTATCATCTTTGATGCCTAAATTAACTCATTAAATTCCTAAATTTAAAGATTTCGTTTTAAAATCTCTTTTAATGAGTGATTAAATAAGCTGTATTTTTAAAGCTTATTGTGAATTAGATGGATCAACATATGCTTTAAAATGTCTCAACAAATAATTATTAATTTAAAATGGTCTTCTTGGAGAAGCTATACATGAAGTTCGTACATTAACTTAAGTGGATAATCCATATATAATATAATTATAGTATGCTTTTCAAACTCCTAATTATTTATATTTGGCATTTGAACATTGTAATGGTGGTAGTTTATACTCTATTTTAAATGCTCTAGAAAGAATTACAATAAATTAAGCTAAATATTATCTAAGTCAAATTTTAATAGCATTAGAATATTTGCATAGTTAGAATATAATTTATAATAATCTCTGTTTGAATAATGTATTGTTGACATCAAAAGGAAGTATAAAATTAATAGGACTTCAAAATTATGGTTTTTAATCAATCTACTATAAGACTCCTGAATATTTGGATGAGGGGAAAATTGGAAAATGGACTGATTATTATTAATTTGGAATATTAGCATTTGAACTTTTATCTGGATGTCATCCATTTTAGGGTAATACTAGTAATTAAATTATTTTGGGTATTTTGACATGTCAAATAAACTATCCTTAATATTTTAGCAAGGTATATTGATAATTTAAAATAGGAAGCAATAAATCTAATAAATAAATTAACAAACAAAAATTATGAAAAACGAATAAATTTTGAACAAATTAGATAACATCCATTTTTTAATGATACTAATTGGGAATAATATTGTTTTTAAAAATTACAAAATCCAATAAGATTAAATTAATTGAGAAATTATTTAAAATTAGAAAAGGTTAAATTATTAAATATATTTAGATTACATTTCAAGATGAGGATTATGAATTGCATGATTAGATCAATTTTAAAAAGGTTATCCAATATGATTATATAAAATTTACTTGATAATGTATATAATATCAACTGATTAATCTTATAATCAAAGTACATTTCAATTTACTGGTTTACATTAAAATTGTTTATCACCTTTTTAATATAGATTTTATTAGTTTTACTGCTAGAATTATATTTAATAATTTTGATTTTAATTAGGAATTTTTTATTAAAATTAATTTCTTATTTGTTAATCTTGTAAACCTCGTTATCCCATAATACCTGTTTATATTTGAAATACTGGTTATCCTTATTATCCTGTAAAACCTGATTATACTGATATTCCTGAGTAAGTAAGTTATCCTGGTAAGTTTAATTATCCTTAATTTCCTGGTTGACTTGGTTATTTTATATGTAATCCTATTTATCCCTATTTTATTGCCGAACCATATTGTTCTTATTATTGTAATCTTAATTATAATAATCTCTACATACCTTGGTTGTTATTGATTGAATTGTAAAACTTATTAAGCAGCCTATGGAGTAAATTATGATTATTAGGTTTGACCTTATACTATTGTGGATAATCTTTAAAGTGGTTGTTATCCCTTTTTATCTTAATAACTTTACAGGAACTCTGGTTGGAGTGAATTTTATTTTTTTATCTATTTTTGACCAGAAGAATAATTAGCCTAATTTTAGGAAAATTATTGAAAGTTATTTTACAATATCTCTTATTTTTATGATTAATTATTATATTGTTCTTATTATTATTATGATTGAATTAATTATGGCTAATTAATATAATGATTTGGACTTTAATAAAATTAAATTTCTGGGCTGTTTATATCATATTTTAATAATTTTTCCCATGTTATTCGTTTATTGAAATCATATACTATCATTTTATCTAATAATTTAATAATATCTTCATCTAAATTTTTGATTAATAAAATTTTTATACCTACTAAATTTGGTTTTAACACATCTGAATGTAATTCAGAGAAAGATTTTTATTTTAAACTTTCTATTTCCTTTCTCTTAAATTATCTTTATAGTAATGCCAATTCAAATATTATTACTCCTAACTAAATGATTACAAGATTATTACAGAAAAAATGTCACATCTGTTATCGTAAGATTAACTATCTTTAACCTCTGGAGCCTAATAATATGGTGTTCCAACCTTTTTTGTCATAATTTTATTTGTTTATGCATATTTACTAAGACCAAAATCGGCAATCTTACAATATATTAAATTAAAACTACTTTGACTATTAATTCATTATTTCTAATATTACATAGTATATTCTATGGTTTAAGATCCCTATGTATGATATTTTAAGATATTAATGAGTTATAACCTTTAGCTATTTAAGTAATTATATCAAGTAATTGTTCTTTAGAGAAATTTTAGTTTTATTTGTTTTATTCATTCTTAGTATTGTTCATCAATTCATCTAAATTGAGATCACATCTTTCCATAAATATATAATTATTATCATCATTAACATCAGAATCATAAACATCATAAATTTAAACTAAATTTTGATGGTTTATATTCTTCATTTACTTGCAGAGATCAAGCTCTTTTTCTTACAAAGGTGTAATTTCCTTCTTTCCATATGATAATGTACTCTTTAATATTTTTACACAAACTTTCAAATTTTTATCCTTTTTTGATTAAGCAAATTTAACTTAACCAAATTCTCCACTTCCTAAATCACCTTCTATAATGTATGAATCTTAATAACTCATGAATGATTTTAATAGAAAATTAAAAATAATATATATTATAATAAATAATGTTCATAATTTTAATTTTGTTTTAAACTCATCTATCATTCACTTAATAGAATTTGAATGATATTGATTAAGACTTAACGTTATAACTACATGAATTGAATAAAAGTAAACATCGTTAATTAAATTCATTAAGTTTAGAGGAGATTGATTGGAAACCAATATAAATACATTTTTAATTTTTAGAGAATTCAGAAGTTAGTTAAGAGATATTAAACTATATTACTAAAATACTTGAGATTTCAAAGATATTTTTTGGGAGACATTTAATGATCAGAAAATAATAATAAAGTATTATTTTTGGGAATAAATCAACATGTGGTGGAATTGATATTCCTGAAGCATTTCAATAAAAAGAATATTATTAAGATTTAGTGATATTTGTTTCATTTAGAAATGATAATACAAGCAATTATTATGCATATTCAGGCCCTTGCAAAATTACAAAATATGATTTAAGGCCTATTTTTGGTGTTATTAATTGGAATTTGAGACAAATCTAAATGGTAATTAATGATTAAATTAAATTAGAAAAATGTTAATTCTTTTACTATTTAATAAAATATTTAAACTTCTATTCATGAAATTATACATACTCTTGGATTTATTAAAGTTCTTTATCAATATTATTATGATCCTTAAACTTTAGAATTTTATAATTTAACATTAGAAAAAGATAAAAATAATCATTTGATTTTGTCCACACCTCGTTTAATGAATATATCTAAAGAATATTTTTAATGTGATTAAGTTAAAGGGGCTGTAATGGAAAATTAAGGTGGAGATAATAGTGCAGACCATCATTTTGAGCGTACTTATTATTTTAACGAACTCATGACAGGCTCTTAGATGAATGGATAATCTGTATTATCATAATTTACATTTACTTTATTATCAGACTTTGGGTAGTATATTAATTTTATCATAGATTTTATCGATTATTAAAATATAAAAGTGATTTTATGACTTATGGAAAAGGTAAAGGATGTGACTTTTTATTTAAATCTTGTAAGGAATTACAAGTTGATGAATTTTGTTAAGAAAATGAATATACATGTTCCTTTAATAATTTTGGAATTGGTAAATGTGGCTAAGATTAATTAAGTGATTAATGCTCTTATAGAAGCATATTTAAAGGAATGGATTGTAAAAACTAATTTTAATATCAGACATAAGAATAAATAGATCATTTCTCAAAAACAAAAAGTACAATTAGTGAGAATAGTTTATGCTTTTAAATATCTTATAAAGAATAAAAAATTGAAACTTTATCTGAAAAATTAAGTTTAATCGAAGAATCATGTTATAGATATAAATGTTAAAATAATGAAATACATATAATTATTCAATAAAATGATAATAACTATATCCAACTTCATTGTCCTAATAATGAAACAATAACATTTAGTGAAATCAATTTTCATATTAAATGTCCATAAGATTCAAAATAAATCTGTTCTTATTAAAATAATTGTTAAAATTAATGTAATTCAAGAGGTTTTTGTGTTAATTAATAATGTACTTGTTAATATGGATTTTCTGGATATTACTGTGAAAATGAATGTGATGGTTTTAGAAAAGAAGATAAATGTTTGATTAAATGTGATGAATAAGATTATGCTGATATCAATTCTATGTATTGTTTAACATGTTCAGGGGTAATATAAGATTTAATATTATTATAAGAATTGTAAATAATGTAAGAGTATCTTTGAATGTTTAGAATGTGATGTAGGATATCATTTAAAAGATAATTTCTGTGAACCTTTTTATCAGAAAATAGAAACCTTATCATCAATATAGTTTAATTTTATCATTTCGAGAATTATTCTCATATTGATCATTTTAATTTGAATATTTTAATAAATAAATTTAAATTTTTTATATAAAAACAGCAATTTTATCCTTTATTTATTTTAATTTAAATATCTATCCTATTCCATGTTTCTATTATAAAAAGTACTTCTTAAATTAAATATAACCAATAAAACATAAGAATTGAATATTGGTTATACACTAAATTTTTTTTTTTTTTTAATTCAGATTTATAATGCTTATTTTATTATAATTCATGACATATCTCTCTATAGTTTGCTTTCAACTTTTTTTTTAAGAATTTCTATATCTTTTTGTTTTAGTTCTTCTAATAATGATAATATGGCACACAAAATATGTTATGAAGTTTCAAAAGAATCTGGTTTTCCATTAAAATTTAAATTCGTTTTTGAATTTTAATTTGTTTACTATATTTTTGTAATTTATTCACTTTTTTGTATTTAGAATGGTATTTCTTCTTCTTCTTAAATTTTATCATTTATTTAAAATTATGAATGTGTCTTTCCTCCTACTAATATGGGTATATTTTTATTTTCATTTTAAAATTAGAATTCTTTTTAATCATAAATTTATATTTCCTATTATTCTTGTGATTCTTCATAAAAAAATTATTAAATTTCTTTTTATGATTTATTATTTTCCTTATTTTTATCTAATTCCTTTTGAGAATCTTCACTTTTTTTATATTTACCTTTATTTTCTTTAGATTTCTTTTTAAAAATTTTAGACTCAATTTTCTTAATTTTCTATTAATCCATTTATACATTTTATTTAATCTAATTCTCCTTTTCCTCTTCTTATTATAATTATCGTCTTTCTTATTATGAAATCACTATATCATCTAATTTTTCTAATTAAGATGCATATTTTAAGACTTACTATCTATAATTTGGATGTTAAGTAACAGGATTATATAAAAGATTTAATGCTTTCAAATTTGGCAATTGTTTTAATAATTAAAACTCTTCAATATTTGATATATTATTATTTCTTAAATTTAAATCCTTGAGATGTGAACACTTGATTACATCTTTTAAAGTATTTATTTTATTAGAAGCCAACTAAGCAAGCTCCAAATTTTTCAATTATGTAATAAAGGATATTTCTTCTAAATCATTTCCCCATAAGTTTATTGACTTAATATTCTCCATTACATCTGTTTTGGCCTTCTATATTATGAGCTATTTAGTTAATATTTTGGTCATTCAAAATATTAAAATGATTATTGTGTTCAATTGAATTTATATAATTTTATAATATTATTCATAAAAAGCAAACTAAAAATGATCCAATCAAACTAAATATTCCACTCATAAACATGCTAACTGAAATGTCATCAACACTCGAAAACAACAAAAAACCTAATGGAATAATGAAAAACATAAATGCTTAAGAAAAAAAGGTTGTTAAATTAAGCATTTAAGGTAAAAGCCCTTTTATTGTATCTCTAACTTACTAATGAATATAATCTATAATTAAATACATCATCTTCTAATTGATTTGCTAATTTATATGGTAATTCACTCAAAACAGCAGTTTAAACTCCCCAAAATGGAAGAGTAATAAATATTGAATAAAATTCATTAACTGACCAAGTATATAATAGTGATGCCCCAGCCAAGGCATTTACAATCATATATATTGTGCTTGTATAATGATTACCCAATTATTTTAAAAACAAAGTTGTTAATAAATGAAGTATAGCACTCATACACAGTGCCAAAGCCCCTCTGTATATTATTTAAACAATACCCCAGCTAATTCCTATATCAAATACAATATTCCTTATTGCTTCATTATATTATTAAGGTCCTTCTTCCAACATTGTAATACCTGACCATAAAGTAGCATAGACAGATACAAATAATTAGGAACCACAAGTAAAAAAATGTGATAATAAAAATATCTTCATATTTTATGGCAATTAACTAACATATATTTAGAATTGATTACAATATAAATGTAATTCCAGGCAAAAAAGAATTGATACTAAATCTCATCTTATGATTTGATTAGACTAAATCTAATCCTTTACTAGGAAATGATATTAAAACCATTCCAAAACCAATTAATATCATTATCAATCCTACTAAATATGCAAATGATAAATTCTCTATGAAATTATCGAAATTTAAATAAATAAAATTGAATGCTAAAACACTAGAAACTAGAAATCCTGTAAATTTTCCAAATGAATCAACAAATGTTCTTTATTATTACACCTTTTACTACTATTTAGGATTAACATATTCTTCTAACAAAGCAGAACAAGCAAACTATTTATATCAATGTTAAGTATATACTCCTAACATTTCTAAACCAACATCCATAACTGTGAAACTGACAATTGAAATAATCAAAACTGATGTTTTTTTATTTATTGAATCAACATATAATGATCTTACATATATTTAAATATTTACTTTGTATCAGCTAATAGTCCTATACCCATAATAGAAACTATTATAAAATATATCATAGCGTTTTTTAATTGATGTGATTTACTTTCGCTGTAGTATCGAATAAAAGGATAGAGTAATAAATTAATTACAGGAGGAAATAACCAACTGGAATATTGTTGTAATTTATTACATTGAAGAGTCTAAAAGTTCTGGAGTGTCTAATTTCAAAAACAAAGGAGAAATGAAAACCATTTCAATTGCAAACCCTCACTATAAATGTATAAATACCATACTCAACTGCAAATGTTAAAACTACTAATGCTAATATCTGTGATTATGTTAAATAATGTATTTTTTTATTTTTTATTTTGAATGCTTTAGTTGGCTTTGAATTGAATTTCCCATTAAATTTATAATTCTTTATCTCTGTTACTTCTTTTCTTTTACTCATCAAATATTCATTATAATTATCAATCACTTCATCTTCATAAATAATAAGTGAACTCATAAATTATTTATAAAATAAAAACGATAAATAATAAATTTATATTTTCATGATGAAAAACAATTCATTGTCTTTTTATTATATCAATGAAAACATTTTATAAACTCATTCATTTATAATCAAACTATCTTATTTTAATCATCAATTTTTATACTATTTTTAGATTTACTTATTCACTTAGACAAATTAGAAAATTAATAATATCATCAAAGAGTAATTTTATATATTACTAATAGATAAATTATAGTCTCAATAAATAAATTTATTATTAAAAAAATTTATATTGTGTAATTCAAATTATTGTAATATTTATTTTACTTTTATAAATACTTCCTAATTTATTATCAGTAATACCTATTATTTCATAACTATCTTTAAGAATTTCATTAAATCATCCAAAATCTTAGTTTTTTTATTTGATCTCATTTTTTTCTATTAAAGTAAAATTAATTAATTGAGAACTAATTTAAAAAGATTTATTTCCATATATATATATATATTAGGAGAAAATAATTTTACATTAAATATCTATTACTTGGTGATTAGATTAGATGCTTAATAATATAGATAATAATTTATGAATACTATTTAAAGTTATAGTGTCTTTCATGAGTATCCTTTATTTTCTTAGTCATCAATATATCAATTTTTTCTATTCTAATACTTAATTTTTCATTTGAAAGAATGCTCAATAAGATTAACTTTAAACTCTAATTATATAAAGTTTATATATCATATAATTATTAATTCTAAATCTTACTTTATTTCTTCATTAAGTATCATTTTCAGGTTTCTCTGTATTATTATAAAGAGAGCATGAATATAATTTTACATTTCTTCCACTATCTTCTATTTTCAAAAAGCTGGGTCGATTTTTTTATCGTTTGATTTTTCTATGTATTATTTATTCTATTTTTAGTACTTTCTAAGTTAGAAGCATAGAGAACTGATATAATGTTATCTAATAGGTGATTCATCTTAGTTTATTTCTCCTTATTGGCATGAAATATTTGTAGGGAAATAATCATAGAGATGTTGAGGTTCTTGATTTATTAAGGTTTCATTGATCATTTTATTAATTTATATTAATAAAATTATCCATAAATTCTTAGAATAATAAAGATAGTTTGATATATTTTTAACAAAATATTATATGATATTTATGGAAAAAAATTATCATGATTTTGTATGTTCATCAAGTAATTTTTATTAAATGAAAGAAAATATTAAATCATTATATTATAATTAAGATAAATGTTAGTTAATAAATTCTGGATATGATCTTTATATATAATTAAAATAATTGAATGCTTTTGTTTAATTTCAATTTTGTAATATTAATGAATAAAATTGACAAACAGTTATGAATCATAGATCATAATATTTTGATGTATTGTTTCATTAATAAACATAATTTTTAATCTGGACAATTAACATTAATTTTTATTTTCTTTTTTAAAAGTTATCTAAGTTCAAAATTCATCTCAAAATTTATTTATAACATATTTATATATGAATTAAATAGTGTAAGCAAAACCAAAATTTTATGCGGATTTTAATAAGAATCAACCAAAAGAGTATTGGGATTATGATAATTTTGAAAATGAATGGGGTGTAAGACTTTTATTAATGTTAGGATAATGACTAATATGAAATTGCAAGAAAAATTGGAAGAGGCAAATATTCTGATGTTTATGAAGGAATTAGATATCCATAAAATTAGAGAGTTGTAATTAAGGTGTTGAAACCAGTTAAAAAAAGAAAAATAAAAAGAGAGACAAAAATTCTGCTTTCATTAAAAGGACATCCAAACATTATAGAGTTAAGTGATATAGTAAAAGACCCAGCATCAAAAACTCCTTGTTTAGTTTTTGATTATATAGATCATGTTGATTTTAGAAGCATCTTTCCAAAACTCACTGATTTAGAGATTCGATTTTATCTATATGAATTAATGAAAGCTTTAGATTTTTGTCATTCTAGAGGGATTATGCATAGAGATGTTAAACCTTAGAATATTATAGTGAATCCATAAAAAAAATTATTGAAATTACTTGATTTTGGTTTAGCAGAATATTATCATATGGGACAAGATTATAATGTCAGAGTAGCATCTCGATATTTTAAAGGTCCTGAATTATTAGTTGATAATGTTTATTATGATTATTCATTGGATATTTGGAGTAGTGGAGCCATGCTTGCATCAATGGTTATTATATATATAAGATAATATTTGTAGATTTTTAAGAAGGAGCCATTCTTTTAAGGAAATGATAATTATGACTAATTAATAGTCATAGCAAAAGTGTTAGGGACTGAAGATTTATTAACTTACGTTAAGAAGTACAGATTGAAATTAGATCCAGTATTTGATAATAAATTGGGAAAGTAAAAATTAAATTTGAACATTAGTTATCCAAAAAGAGAATGGTCAAAGTTTATTAATCAAGAGAATAAACATTTGTGTTCAGAAGAAGCAATTGATTTATTATCCAAAATGTTATTGTATGATCATGTAAATCTAATTAAATATTAAAAAATAGGCACTAAGAATTACTCCTAAAGAAGCCTTAGATCATCCATATTTCTTACCTGTCAGAGATTAGAAAAAATGAAATTGGTATTTTTTAGTATTTTATTAAATTACATACAAATAAACATTATATAAATGATAATCGAACACAGCACTTAAAATGATAATCAAAATAATAATATAAGTCTTGTGTAATTATGAAATTGCAATAAATATGAAAATAGTAATTGTGAGTATATTAATTTTAATAGGATTTTAATTGTTTAATGAGTGAGGTAAACATGGATGAAGAGACAGAAAAAAAGCTTAATGAAATTTTTCATTCAATTAAATTAGAGTATGATTAAAGTTAAGAAGCCTTAAAAACAATTAAAAAAACTAATGATTTGGTGGGATAAGTAAGACATTGTAAATCTCTATCCACCCTTTTTTATCATGCAAAAAATTTGGATTATGCTCATAAGGAGTTCAAGAATCTCAAAATCAACAATCTCAATATCAACTTAAACTCTGATATAGTTATATATACAAAGGAGGATGGCTAATGTGTTGCTAAAACAATTGAAATGATTGGTGTAATGAGATTTCAATAATACACTCCCATTATCAGAGTTCAATGGTATTACAGTAAGAACAACTTAAAAGAGATAATTGGAAGATATATAGATTGCATTGGAGATAGGGAATTATTCTTATCTGACCAATATGATTTTATTTAGCCAGATACAATCATATCTCTAGCAGAAGTCTTAGACTTTAAAGATTTCGATAAGTAGGACTTTGTGGATGATTTTACCTTTTATTGTAGGTAAACATTTCTAATAGTGATTTAGGTCATTCTACAAAAATAATCAAATAATCCCGCCTATTTAGAAATGGGGAAAACATTGTTTATGTAAATTACCATTGAATCCCGATTAATAATATATACAATGTGATATTTGTTAAAAATGGTATCATTATGAATGCTTGGGAATCAAGCAAATCTAGTAAACTACTTATGTCTGCATTAAGTGCAAGAAAAAAAAATGATTTTATAAGATAACTATAACTTGTTATAAATCAAATGAAAACGATAATATATTTTTATTAAAAATGGCAGATTAATTGAATGCATCCTTCATTAAACAGTCTGAGGATATTATTTAATCAAAGAAAGAGGAAATCCTTTAGTTCTTTGAGCAGAAAGGATACAAGGCGGATTCTGCATTTGATGATTAACTTTGGTTTTTCCCAGAAATCAATTAGGACTAAGAACATATTCTATGGAAAGTGATTAGTGATACAATTGGACAAGATTAAGTATATGATGAGAATGTAGGATTATTCATTTAATTAGTTTGCATCAGAAGCAACCATTGAAACTTTTGTGTAAAAACTATTGGATTAAGCAAAAATGATACATCTAAAAATCCTTGATTTTCAAAAAAATATAGATTATTTCAAAGATGAACTTACAAATTTTGATAAGTTTTCAAAGGTCATTGAAGCAAGTATTATAAATCACTTAATCATACTTAGATAAACCTGAATATAATCAGGAAAATGCATTAGTCATATCCTTTGTAGATCAAGTTAATTAGATAAGTGAGATGTAAAAAGTATGAATCAAGATTTATATTTTAGTATTATAAGTTGAAGTACAAAGTTGGAACTATTCATCAAAATTATCAACCCTTGTATCCAGAGAATTCAAATAGATCTACCTGTATTTCTTTAGATAACACAATTGATTCTATAACACTTGTTGTGATGGGAAAGAGACTCGATAAAAATCTAGGAGATGCAAGAACTTTAGGAGAAGATTTTAAAGAGTTAGCTTAAATTAAAATACCTATTATTGATATCTATCAATAAATTAGACCAAGACATTTTGCTCTTCCAACTATACCACAATGCTACTTAATTGTAAATTACTAGGATTAAAGTTTGGATGCTCCTTTTATAGATAATGTCACAGTAAATCTAAGATTTGATTTGAGAATCTCTTATGAAGATAGAATCAATATTATAAAATAACAAAAGGAATTAAAGGGTGGATTAATTGAAGTAATTTTATTATTTTAAGATTATATAGAAATTTCAAGAGAAACTTAAACAAAGATTGGCTTAGATGGAATAATTATTGTGTCCATTTAAATTGAATCCTAAATTACAATATGTCACTGCTAGGGGCATAGGATTGAAATCAGATTTTAAGGATGAACCTATTAAACCAAAAAGTGAGAGAAACAAAGAGGACATTAAACCACCTAAGGAAAGAGAAGCATGTTGCATAATATAATGAATAAAAAATATGATGTCTTCATCAAAATAACAAAATTAACTTTAACTTCTGTTGAATAGTAGGGTGCTATATCATAATTAATTATTAGCAAAATTAAATTCATATCAGAAATATTATTAATATTATAGTAGTAAATCTTCATCAGCTTAAGGTGCATGCCAACCTTCAAAATTTTATGGCCATGGTATCCATTCTTTTTTTTTTGGTTTTTCAACATTTCCCTAACTGACACTTCTTTAAGTAAATTAATAAGATTGCAATTTTTTAATTATTTATGGAGAATCAGGTTCACTGGGTAACTTAATAGATTATTAATACTGTGGTATCATTTAAATATCATTTATACCATCCTCTATTGTTGAAGTTTATTTTTCTTATAATTTTAATATTGGAATTTTAGTATTTTAAGTTGATAAAGTTGATTATTAAAGTTATCTTTCTTGAATATGGATTGGAATTTCAAAGAGTTTAATTTTAGAATTGGACTTTTTTTCAAAATATTTAAAAAGTTTAGGTTATTTATCAAGTTATTTCTCAACAGTAGAGAAACTGTTCTTGATTTATAATTTATTGCTTTAAAACAATTATTTCTACTTTACATTTTTAGCATTTAAAATTTCTTTTCTTAATTATAATACCTTCTTTTCTATAGACAATTTTCTATAACCATTTTCTTAATTTTATCGAGATGTTGGAATTGATTATTTATTTGGAGATAATCTAAATGGTTTCAAGATAGTAGGAATTGCTGGGTCTCTGAAAGTTGGAATGTTATAATGATGGAGGTTTGTATTTTTTTATTCTAAATGGAATAAATGCATGGCTTTGACAGTTCTTGAAGTTTTAGAAGAGTTCATTATTTATATATTAAATCACAAATTAAATTCTAAGAGCTACTACAATAAATTAGGATCCAATTTGTTATTTTGTACTTATTGCTCATTTTACATAGGTTCATCAATTTATGTTAGAGAATGATGACTTCCACATACTTTGATACCAAAAATATCATCCTCATCATCTAATTTAATTGAATTATTCATTTTATCATCAACTAATGCACCAACCAATTAGATAGCATTATTTTAATTTGAATTATTCCTTTTATATATCTTAGTTGATGTTTCTAATTTAAATTACTTTAATTTAGCTTTAAAATCCTGAATTTCTTTTTCTCTTTTAATTTTAATAGAGAATCCAAGACTTTTTTAAGATCGAGTAATATCTTAGTTTTCCACAACTGAATCAATATGCTTACTTTTGATAAGAGTATTTTATAACTCAAAATTTAAAATAGTTGCACTATTAATTAAAGATTTATTAAGAAGATCACTATTTTAACTAATTTTACTTGTATCCATATCATCTTTTGTAACTTTTTTTGTAAGAGGTTTTCTTGGAGTTTGCATATTAGGTATCCATATATGTTTGAGTGCTTCAGAGGCAGTTAATCTTTTTAAAGGATTCCACATCATTAATCTTTTGATTAAGTCTCTACAACTAGAAGACAAAGATAAAAACTAAGGTTTTTGGAATGCATCATTGATTGATTAACTATAGAATGTATATTAAAAAAAGTATACCTATTAGATAATAATGCAACAATATCAGCTGTATTATCTGAAGTGAATGGCAAGACTCCTGTTAAAGATTGATACATAATAACTCCAATGGCCCATATATCAACTTATTGATTATAACCATAGATATGACTACCCATAATTTCTGGGGCTCTATAATGTAAGTTACCAGTAACTGTTAACATTTGATTTCTCATATATCTAAATGTACTATTATTGAATGTAACAAATCTTCTAGAAACTCCAAAGTCTATTAATTTGACTGTGTAATCGCTATAAATAACAACTATTATACTTCGGATTTACAAGAACATTGTCTGGTTTTATGTCTCTATGACAAATACCACAACTATGTAAACATCTAACACTTTTTAATAGAGAACATGCAATTCTTTAAACTTCTTATTCTTTTAATTTTATTCTTTATTGTAATATGGATTGTAAATTAGAAAATGGAACATACTCCATTACCATATATATTACATTAATGTCAATATATAATTTATAGCATTTTGCAATATATGGACTTTTTATAATTGTGGAATTAATGAATGCTTATCTTACAATATCTAATTGTTCTTCATCTGGTGTTTGTATAATTTTCACAGCAAATTATTATTAAGGATTGTCTTTTTTCCAACATATTCTTACTATACCATTTGTACCTTCTCCTAATTTTTTACCAAGTATAAACTCATCTTCAAAATTAGTAGATTTAACTCCTATTTATTTGAAGTCTTCATCTATCATCTCATCATCACTGAATGATATTGATTAAGCTTATTAACCAATTAAAGGAGTCTAAGTTTTTCTAATAGGTTCATCATCATTTCTAGGAGATATAGTGTGTGCAGAGACTAGAAATCCTTTCATCTTTTCCATTTATTTATGAAATTTGGTATGAATACCTAAACTTTAGATCATTATTAAATTTATATGGATTCCATTTTAGGAAAAGACCTTACTAATAATACTATTGCACGTTAATTTAAATTAATCAAGAAAATTGGATCAGGAGCATTTGGAGAAATATATTTGGTCTAATCATAATCTAAATCTGAATATGCCATGAAACTGGAAAGAAGTGATAACAAACACCCTTAAATATTCTTTGAAGCTAAATTATACAATTACCTTTAAGGATAAGATTAGTATGATAAAGGTAAGTTTATTATATAATTCGAAGGAAGGCATTCCAAAAATTCATTATTAAGGAGTGGACGGTGATTATAATTACATCGTCATGGATCTCTTAGGACCATCCCTTGAAGAATTATTTAATAAAAATCATAGAAAACTATCACTAAAATCAGTTCTAATGCTAGCAGATTAGTTAATTTAAAGAATTGAGTACATTCATTCAAAATAATTTATACATCGCGATATTAAACCAGATAATTTCTTAGTAGGAGTTGATAGTAAGAGTTCAAGACTTTATATTGTTGATTTTGGTTTGGCAAAAAGGTATATAACCAAAGAAGGACACATTCCTTATAAAGAAGGGAAAAGTTTAACTGGAACTGCCAGATATGCATCTATTAATACACATGTTGGTTTAGAATAATCTAGAAGAGATGATTTAGAATCACTTGGTTATGTCTTAATGTATTTATTAAGAGGACAATTACCATGGTAAAATATGAAAGCCTTCAATTAAAAGGAGAAATATTAAAAAATAATGGAAAAAAAACAAGAAACTACTCCTGAATAATTGTGTAAAGGATTTCCAAATGAATTGACTCAATATTTATAATATTGTAGAAATTTGAAATTTGAAGACAAACCAGATTATAATTATATTAGAAATCTATTTAAAGTATTATTTTTTAATTATTACTTAAAGGAAGCCTTTAGAAAGTAAGGTTATGAATGGGATTATAAATTTGAATGGGTTAAAGATGAAATTCTAAAAGAAGATAAATTCATGGGATCAGCCATACCATAAAGAACAGTAGAAATACCCACAACAACAAAACTAAGTAATTTTCAAACAATTAGAGCTCCTCTACTTATATAATATTAATCTAAATTATCTTAATAGGCATCTTAAGAGAAAAAACGAAATTCTTCTTATAGTAAGAATAATAATTTGAATAAATAAATGACTGGATTACTTGCACCTAAAATCAATACAAACAAAGATAGAACTAGAAAATATTGAATTTAAATATTAATATATATCTATAAATCTAATTTTTCAATCTTTTAATTTATTTACATACAAGTAAAGTTAACTTTTTCTATGATATAAAAAAATGATCATTTTAGTAAAGGATAAAATAATTAATATAATGAATCCAATATAAATATAATCTTCTTTATCTAATAATGATTTATGCTTTTAGTAATTATAGGCTAACATTTTCAAAGATATAATGACTTAAGGGAAAATAACTATGTTAAATTTCCCTATAATTTTGGCTTAAGCAAGTGGTACCTAAAATAAATTAAGATTAATACATTTTATAATACAATACATAAATCTTTCTAATCAATTAATGATAACTCTTTTATTTAATCTTATTATATCGAAACTGCATACATAAAATTAGACAGACTTTTGGTTTATTCATTTAGAACATTTATTGGTACACTGTTTAAATGAAAAATTGATATATATTTAAATGAATCGACTAAAAGTTCTATAAAAAAATAGAATCCAATTTTGTAATAAAAATCTACAGGTGTAAATTTCACACTCATAGATATTAATATTATATAAAGTGCTTTTTGAAAGTATTCTCTTCCATCATTTATTGCAGTTGATAGACATGATTTTTCATCCTATTTTTTAAAAACTGATCCCTTTAATTTAATTAAACTTAAAACAAATAATGCTAGATATAAAAGTTATACTTTCTAACTAAATATTACATTATAAACTGTTAGTTGTAATCCCAATAAACAAGCATGTGCAAATATATAAATAAATGAATAAAGTAAATATCTATTAAAAACAGATTAATTCTTATACACATTCTGCCAATACAATTATCTAATGATATAATCTCCTTAAGTACATGCCAATCTATCAAGTAAATCCAAAATCTATATAATTCCATATAATTTAATTTAAGATTAACTCCTTATTATGTGATACCAAAATCCAACTTCAAAATAATTAAATGTAAAAAGCCAAGTTATCAACCAAATCATTGTAGTTTAAATTAAATCCAATCTGAATTATATTGAAAACAAATTTTTTGTTAAAATAGATAAAATTATTCTAATAGGTGAAATTATCACTGCATCAAACATTGAATCCAACATTAGAATTCCAACCTTCATAAAAAATTGATAAACAGGTAATGGAGTAGTATAATGTATTAAACCTGCTTCAGGAACATGAATGCTTTTGTTTTGACTTCCCAACATATATTGATTAGGATAATAAAGAAGCATTTTTTATAAGAAATACTTCATTTAAAATAATAATATTTTTAATTTCTTATTCCTTAATTGTAATTCAATCCTTTTCGACTTAAATATATGTATAGGTGTAGGAATTATAAATAATAATATTTTTAGATTTTGATTATTTACTTTAGTAGTTTATATGGAAAAATTATAAGATTTAACAATTTAAAGTTGATTAAATGATATCATTTCTTATTTAGGAGTTGATTATTGAAATAGAAGCAAATTAATATAAGAATTATACTATATATAATGAGATTTAATGCTTTATTTTTATTAGAAATTCTATGTTTTACATAAATGATAAAAATTAAAAGGAAAGTTATGAATTATAATATTTGTTTGGAATATTTTTAAAATGATAAATACATTAAAAATTCATTTGGATGATAAAATACGTACAAGATAATTTGTAGTTGACACTCTCTGAAAAATAGATGCTTTACAAAAATGGTTAAATAATTTTTGAAAAGGTTAAATAAGATGGAGGATTTATCAAAGTATTAAAAATATTATAAAAAGGTTTATTGTTAAAAAGAGTTACCATAATATTTAATTGAAGATAATTGGGTAGATATATACAAAACAAAAATAATCTCATATGAATATAACTAAATTGTTAATGCTCTATTAATATAGAAACCACATTATTGTTCTTCTACTGAAATTTTAGATATTTGGAATTTAGATTCATTAGTATGGCGCACTTCTTAAGTTTATATAATTAGTGTTCCATGTGAAATGATTGAAATTCTGACAATGAATTTCACTCTTTAATAAATTAAATAAAACCATGGTATGACAAAAATAGAAGTTGAAAGTATAATCGAAGAGAATAACAAAACTATCTAAGAAATGTAACTCTCTTAATTAATAGAAAAGATTATAGAAGATTAATCTTCAAATAAAATATCCTATTTTACTATTATTAATCTTCATAAAAAAGCTAAAGAAATAAAACATATTAAGAATTTCCTACCATAATCAATAAGACCTTAAGGCAATAATGATGTATTGAGTTATATGAGAAATGAAATTCCAAGCATTAATGTTCCTTAATTTGAAATTAGATATTTTAATAATTGGAAAAGTTCACCAAAAGATTAAATATGTTTTACTTAAATTAATTTAAATCTTGGTCCAGATTCCTGTTTATGGATTACAATTGATAAAGAAAATATAACTGAAATTAGATAAAAATTAATTCAGATTGAGCATATTGACATTTTAATTGAAGATAAGATTTGGTTCAAAGATGCAGACTATTTTTTATTAAATAATATACCTTTTAGATATTTTGTTTAAAATAAAGGAGATTTAGTTGTTCTTAGTCCAGGAACCTATAGTTGGTAAAAATGTGAAGGTTTAAGCATAAATTGCTCTTGGAATTAAGCAACTTTAGATGAAAATTCTTTAAAAACTATAATTGATTAATAGAAAATCTTTAACTAATTAAATTTTATCAGTAGAATTCCATTTAAAAATTTAATACTTGATGTAGTAATCCATGAAAACTCTTTGGATTAAACATTACTCAACTATCTTAGATCAGAATTATAATAATTTATATTTGAAGAAAATCAAAATTTATAAGTTTTAGATTAAAAAAATTCACCTGTATTTTAAGAAAAAAGAGATAAATTATTTTGTACAAAATGTAAAAGAGAGTTATTTATATACTTTTATGAAGAAGATTAGAAATGTCTATGTTTAATTTGTTTGAAAGAACAAATAAATATTAATAATTCAAATATAAAATAAAAGTATCGATTTTAATGTTTGAATTTTTTGATAGGATCACAATTATCTTGTTGTAATATTGAATTTTGTTCAAATTATACTGGAAAAACTAAATGTACTATAAAAGTTGATGAGTAATAAAATTACAAAAGTAAAGTAAATAAAAAAGGATTCATAAAGATTTCATCTGAAAATAATAATGGAAAAAATAAAATATTAGAACCATTTACACAAAATGTTATGGAATCATCAGAGGATGAAAACCCAAAAAGAAAAAATAAGAAATAAGATATCTACAAAGGCTAACAATTTTTAAAACAAAAAAAATTATGAATTATTTTGAATAATAATCATCTATAGATTTTATTTTTATAAAAATCTCTTTTCAACAAACAATTCCCTTTTTTTACAATTTGATTAATAAAATGTATTTAGATATGATCAAAAAGTTAAGATTATTTTATTACATAAATCATGATTATATATTCATAATTGATTCCATAATATGATTGTAATTTATATTTGATTAATATTAAATGCAAAAAAAGCATTTTGATTTTTTTCAGATTATATTTCTCTAAATAATATAATATATATTTAAATGAAAATTATTTTCAGTTTTGAATACATCATATTAAGATCTTCATTATGCCTCTAAGCATTATTATGGCATTTCTTATTATTATTTTTCCAAATATTCTATTAATTATTCAAGCCTTGTTATATTTTGCATGCTTTTTTAGATTTCCTAATCCTTATCATTTATGTTCTTTTTTAATTCTTGACTTTCTTTAATTAACTAAACCATTTCTGAGGATTGTTTTCTATAAGAATGATGAATTGATATACTTTGGATCTTAATTATTATTGTGAATTTAATTATTTTATTTAGGGACTTCATAGTTTATAGATTTAGCAAAAGGAATACTGGACATCAAATCAGGTTTGTATTAATTTTAAGCAATAAATTATTGTTTGATCTAAGGTGCAAAATTCTAATGGGTTTCTATTTGTTTTTACTTGCTAAATATAATTATTTGAATGAAATTATTATTGGATAGGGAATTTGGGTTGAAGGTAGGGTTATCTGGAGGGTTGTTATTAAATAAACATGAAATTATTTATTATATATATTATTTATAATATTGTAAATTTGTATTGTTGATTTTGGCGGATAAATGGAAGTATTGTGTTATAAGTATTTTTAGCAATTTATAATGAACCATGATGATACAGATTGTAATTCTATATAAATTAATATATAGTTAAGACTCCATAAAAATAGCAATTGTCCAAATCACCAATTACATACATTAAACAAAGCTCGCCTAAAAAACTCAAGGAAGAATTGAAAAAATTTAAGATCATTAAGAAATTGGAATTTAATGATGATCAGATAGTTATAAGATAAGATGGAATACTTGGAAGAAGCAAACGTATTACACCTAAAGAAAATAAAAGTATTAATAAACAATTAAATTAGTAAATTCATCCTACACTTTAGGTCTATTAAATTCTATAGAACTAAACTAAAATAATGTTATAGTTAATAAATTAGTGAAACCTAGTGATGATGATTTATTTAATCTCTCAAGAGATGAGAATATAGTGTGTAAATGTAGGAAATCTAAATGCATTAAAAATTATTGTGTTTGTAGTGCTAATAATCAAGAATGCTCATTCAAATGTGAATGCTACAATTGTTCAAATAAATAGCCAAAATCAGCTGTCTCAAAATAATCTGGATCAGATTATATAGGATGTAATTGTAGAAAATAAGAGTATGACCTCTAAATTAATTCCTAGTTGTTCTAAAGGGTATTGTGAATGCCAAAAACGTAAAATCAAATGCACATCCAAGTGTAATTGTTGTGATGAATGTAAAAATTGTGATATACAACCCTTACCTTTTCATTTAGATAGTTTATTCTGATTTCAAATTTCATTTATTAATTAATTATTATATACAAATCGTTAAATTATTTTTACATCTAAAAATACCAATAAATAATATTTTATTAGATATAAATTAAAATTTAGTTGACAACAACAATCATTATTTTAATTCTATTTTGAAAACCAATTCTTCCTCTATTTAATCTGTATCATACCTAATAAATTTCATATACACATTTGAATTCTTAGATGCTTATAATGTAATATGAATAGTTATAGATGCTAATAATATAACAATATTATATACATTCAGCTGGTATTTCTAATGTATTTAAGTTGTCTATCTCAAAATTAGTTATTTTCAATATATTCTCGTCTGATATTGAAATTCTTAAAATTTTAAGAAATTTATCTTTATTTTTGTAATCAAATTTCTTTTTATAAAGACTATTCTAAAGTAAAATCAACTTATATTCTTTTATTGGTTTGGTAAGACTCATTTAATAAATAATTAATTAATATTATCATCAATTTCTTATTATACATATCAATTAATAACTATTAATGTACTTAATTTTATTATATAAATATATATACTTATTATAATTTAATATAAATCATAAATTATATTAAACTTGATATAATCTAAAATATAAGAGTATTAAGGATTATAATCAAAAATTTATCATAAAAATAAAAAGTTATAATTATTATTATATATATAAGTTATAATTATTTATTACCAGCATATTATTATAATTCATTTATTCTTTTTTTAAATAATCTACATAGTTAATCAAATTTACATCTTCAATTTAATCCAATTATTTTTAATAATTTTCCCTATGTTTCTTCTTTTTTCTTAAATCCTATTTTATGAAGTCATAATTCTTAAAATTAGGATCTACCTATTTCTTTGCTTCAACTTCTGCTTAATGATCTTTTTCTTCAGCTATACTCAACCCAATAGGTTAATAACATTCATAATAATAATCATCTTATCCTTCCAGCATTTTTTTATGTCTCTTTAGTTTCTCTAATATATATATATATATTAAATTTACCTTCTCTTTCCTTTTCCTCTTATTCTTATATTTACTTTAATTAATTATATGTTTTTTAATCAAACTAATTCTTAGATAAGTATTCTGTTATATCAAAATTTTCATTTTCAATTTCAACTTTTAGAATCTTATTGACATCAACATTAGGTTTATTAACTTGTTTTGCATCATTAAAGATATCATCAGATTCATCATCTTGAACATTACTTTCAATAAGAATTTTTTAGTCAAATTTATGTCTTTCTTAATATCTCTTAATAGATAAATTATTAGTATTGAGAATGCTTTCTTATATCATTTAAACAGATTTTTCATCATATATAACTTAGATTTGATCTTCTCCATCTTGATTAGATTTTTTTGTAAAAAATTATGGCATTGAAATTCCATAATTAGGATCTATATCATATTTATAAATGAAAGTCATAGTGTTTTTAAAAGGAGTAATTTAATTCCTATTTTATAAAAATGCTTCTATTTTGATTGCCATTGGATGAGTTGCTTTTTTAGGGATTTTATCTTTTGCAGATGATAAATCTTTTTTTATTTTAGCTATGATGCTAGATTTATTTATATCTTGATTTAATGTATTTGTTTAAGGTTATTATATCAGAGTATAATCTAAACCATTTAATTTAATATCCTTCTCAAATCCTTCTAATTCTACATATTCTCCATTCTTAACTTAGTTTATGATCCCTTTTCTTCTCTCTTCTGCTCTATCTCTATAGTTAATCTCTTCAACATTAATATTATTTTCATTATCTTCGTCTTCAAACATTAATAATATAAATAATTCAAATAGGTTTCATTTCTTTGCCAAGCCACTCTATGCAATTCATAATGTCCTTGTATTCTAATGTACTACCTTTGAAGACAGATACTTTTCTTGTCTTATTTCTATATAAAGGAAAATAAAATAAATATACTTTAAAAATTCCTCTGTCTTATCAAAAGGATTGTCTTTTCCATTTTGGTTCACAAATACTGCAATTGGAGTCTTAATTATAGAAATATTAGGTTTTTACATCTTTAAGGTCTGAGTCAATTATTATTTTTTCTAATTCCAATAATGCCTTTTAGATATCAATGTTGCCATCTATAACATAAATTACTCCTTGACTTCCATAAAAGTTTTGTCTCCAAAATATTCTCTATCTTTCACTTCCTCCCATATCAAAAACACATAGTGTAATGTTTTTTAATTTAATGTCAACAATTTATAAATCTTCTTTCTTATCTTGATAATTTCCTTGGTTAAGTGTTTTTATAAGAGCTATATGAAACATTTATCTTTACTTGACTTTCCAACTCCATTAAGTCCCAAAACTAATAGTTTACGCTTTTCTTTAGAGAAGAATTTTTCATGATTATTTCCCATTTTCGTAAAATTAAATAGTGTTTTAATAAATTATAATAATAATAAACAATAAAAATATTAATATAGAATTTTACATTGTAATATATATCTCTCCTATTACTTATGTAAAATGAATAGATTATCACAAATATCATATATTAGATATAATAAATAAAGGTAATTCTATATAATAGAAAATTGTATTGAATATAAAATAAAATAATAACAGTATTGAAAAATAATAAGATATTAAATAATATTAGAGATAAAGTAACATACTTATATGTGATTTATTAAGAACAAATTATAAAATAATAATTGATTTTTTTATTAATAATTATTTTGATGATAATTTACAAATTAGGCTTTGCTAGTATTATTTTTTGTTTCATCTATACAATTGTTGCTTAGATTCATGATTATCATTTGACAATATCAAAAAAATTAAAAACAAACTATGTACCATTAATGTAAACCTACATGATGGATCATACTAATTACAGTAAATTCAAATAATCCTATAATGTATTATTTATATATAAATATGAAAGGAAACATATCTTAATATGATAGAAGAACCTAGTTATTGCATAGAATCAGATACATTAGTAATAATAACAATTAATGTAGAAATTAATGCATCCTGACATAATACTTTAGGATAAATATATAATGAGAGAATTAGATAAAGGAAATTTATAAAGAGAAATAATAAAAAGTAGAATGTTTGATTCAATCCAAAATATTTAACCATTGCAAAGTAATATATTTCTAAACTTAATTAAGAGCCAACGACAAAATTTTAACATAGAATTCCTCCTTAATTATCATATTTTTATACTTTTAAACCAAGATTATAGGATTATTATCATCTTGGTTAAGGTTTAGGTTGTTTGTTTTAAAAATTAAATCATATACCTGGATTATATACTTTAACAAGCAAAAACAGTTTAATATATAATTATGCAAAATATATCTATGATATGAAAAAACGGAATGTTAGTTCATAATGTATAGAAAGTGCATCTTATGTACCAGATACATTGAGATTAAATGTTAAAACAGAGTGTTAATCATTTTTTAAATAATTGAACAAATTATAAGAAGAATACAAAAATAATAAAAGAGTTTATAATGGTCCAGATTATTTGTTAAAGACTGATGAACATAGAGGAGAAGGCATACGATTATTGTTTTAATAATAAATAGAAAACATTACTACAGTATATGAGAATGGAGAATTGTGTGGTAATGTAACTGAGAAAATAGTGGCTTAGAAATATATCAATAAACCATTTTTATATAAGGGACATAAAATTGAATTTAGAATGTACATTTATTTGGCTAGCAGTAAACCTTTATAATTATATATGTATAAAAGAGCTTTGATCAAAAGATGTGCTAATGAATATAATCCTTTATCAGAATCAATACCTGCTCATATTTGTAATACTGCTATAACAGAGAAAACTCATAAGAATTAAAGTAATTCTATAGAAAGTTAAGAAGAAGATGAAGAGATGTTCATTGATTGGAATTTAGAGGGTATTGAAGAGTTATTGAAAGAATAGGGTAGAATACCTAAAAATTAAAATTGGCTTTAAGAATATCTTTATCCAAGAATTTATGTGAAAATAATTCACACAATTAGAAGTGGATAATATGCATTTTATTAAGATTCTAGATTTTGTGAGTTTTTGGCTATTGATTTTTTACTTGATAATGATCTAGATATATGGTTATTAGAAATTAATTATAATCCTTAGATTTTAAGTGTAACAAGTGATAGAATCAAAAGAAATTATAAAATGATTGAGGATACTATGGAAATTGCATTTGCATATTTGAAATCAAAATATAAAAGAATCAAAATATTTTTATAAGAAGAATTAATGAAATATTAATATAGTGGAAATAGAATTAGATAAGTAGATTTTAGAAATTAATTTGGAAAACATTTTAATTAATTATTAGATGATGTTTAAATAGATTAAGAGTTTAGTTTATCTAAAGATAATTTATATGCACATATAATAGATGAAAGTAAATAAGGAAATGAGAAATACTTTAATTTAATAGATGCTGAATGTATATGAAATAAATTATGTAAATTTATAATCAATTATATAATAATATGATGAATAGTAATATTTACATATAAAGTTGAATTGAATATTGGCATTACTAACAATTATTTTCAGATGTATAAATATAAGTATATAGTGTATTTTAAGTGCAATCTTTCGCATTTAAATCTTATGGACCATTTGCATTTTAACATATTCCATTAATTAATACACATGGTTATATTGCATTTCTTTATGAACCTTCCCATACAAAATTACAATTCTCAATTGATGAATTTGGACAAGTTGCCCATGTACATAAATTATTTACAATTTAACATAAATTTGTATATTATAAACACTAATCTACTGATACATTTTCACATAATAAATTTTCACATTATTAAATTAGATTATTCCAATAACAAACATTTCCATATCCAACATTATCAAAACGTATATTAAACAAAGATTTGTTGCAATCATTTTAATTCAAATAACTTTTACATTATGTTAATTAACAAACATTATTTTATGATGTACCACATCTATTAGATTATTAATAACATTCTTAATCTGTTAAACCTGTTAACTCTGTACAATTATTCAATTCTACACATTTACTATCTTTTAAAAAACATCTATCTAATTAAGAACATAAATAAAGAACTGTCTATTCATTAAAATATGAACAATTATAATTAAGCACTTCTGTGCATTCAAAATCCAAATCAAGTTAACAAAATTGACTTGAACTACATAAATAAGGTTGATTTATTTATTTACAAGTACATAATGTAGAATATTAGATTTGAATATTCCAATTTGCTTATGTTAATTAATAAGGCAACAATATAAGATAAATTATCATTATTTTTTATTATATTTGTTATTAAATATGCAATCATTTATATGTTAACATTATATTACTATTTTAACTTATATTATTATGATTCTTTGTTGAAAACAAATTAATATTATAATTATTCCTAATCATATTCTAATAAAATCTGATGATGTAGAGTTCATTTAATAGTTAAGTAGGAATGATTATTTGATTTAATGGAAAATCTACATCCAGCATAAGAAATCATTCTTAATATAGTTTCAGAGATTCAGAAGCATCATGACTTTATTAATTACATGAACTCTAATTCTTAAAAAATAAAATAAGGTTTATGGATATAGTAGTACTTTAAAAATGAACCAAATATACCAATAATCTAAAATATAATTAGAGTAGTTGAATTATAAAATGAATACATTCCAATTAAATAACATTTTCATCATATTTTAGTACATAAATAAAATGTTCCTAATTTATGTGGATACCATGCAACCTATAATTTAATTCAATGTGTTTAAAGTATTAAATATAAGTAAGAATTTTTAAATATATTTTTTAGAATCCCACCTTTATTTTATAATATAGCAGCATTTTGGATATATGTTAAAAGAACCTAAGATTTCTTAAGATAATATAGAAATAAATACTAATTAGATTCAACTATTTGGCCATGGAGAGATTCTGATATTGAAAAAGGAGATTTTGAAAGAACTTATTTAAAAAGTTGTTTACATGCTAAACCACTTTTTAAAACAACATTTTAAAATGAAATAATATAAGATATCAAATACTTAGTTACAAATGATACTATATTCTTTTAATATGGTAATGTAATCAATGGATATAATGAAAGAGTAGCCTTATAAAAGTAATCATATTATTTAAATTTAGAAAATTTGATTAATTTAAAGAGTTCAAACCATCAAATAATGAAGAATTAATCTAAACATATATGCTTGGAGTAACAAATCATTGGATTTGTTTTGTTGCATATAAATCTATATAAGGAACTTAATTTATTGTAATGGATTCTAGAAATAGAGATTTCTTTTTGTGGAATTAATAATAAATTAGAGATTTCTTATAATAAGATTAATTAGAGAGACCAAAGAGAGGTTAAAATCCATTAAATTAATTTTATTTGGATCTTTATGAATAAGGAATGAAAGACTTATAATAAATTATTACATTACTTATCTCATGGATTACAGGTTAAACTAAATTAGAATCATATGTTAGCAATTAAAAAATTAGAGTATTTTTGAATCCATTGATAGAATTACTAGAAATTTCATAGAATGAATATCTAAATCTTAAATTTAATAATTAAAATGAAGCAAATCTATATTAAATTATGGCATTATGGGCTGATCAATACATAATAACAGTTAGTGAATTTATTGGCAATGCAATCAACATTACATAAATTAACAAGGCTCTGTTCTTGAAATCAATAGAATTAGCTTAGAGTGCTCTTGAGTATTAAACTAAAAATGGATTATGGAATTAACAAAAGTAATCTCCATTGCATTCCATCTTAAAATGTTTAAAAATAATTAACTAATCTATCTGAATATCAATTAATTATATTAATAATTATATTTATATTCTCAAATTAGGTAATTATTCAAATAGAATAAAAAATAATTATTTATATAAATGGATCAAATGAATAAAGTCACCAAAATCAAACTTCCAAAGAACAAACTCAAACCACTACTACCTGTTGGGCATCCATCTTCCTAAGGATCATCAAAATTATTGACATCTAAGGATTCGTCACAATCAATGCATTCATTAGAATCTTTATCTTTCACGCAATCTATTTCTGAAGTAAGTCCTTAAGTTGATCCTTAATTTTCCTATAATAATCTAGATGATTCATCTAAAATTCTTGATCCTGCTGTTGAAGATATGGTAGCTTTTGCAGATATTGTTACAGATCTCCATGCAATCTCAACTTTAATAAAATACATAGCATATCCTTTTTAGTTGAGCTTTGAAGATATGATATTTGCCTTTTTGAATAACTTATCTCCAGTAAAATGAATCTCAGGATTAGTTAAGTAATAAACTTATGTACCATCCTTAGTTAATGTATGCTTTAACCATATTTGATCATTCAAATAAAGGTCAGCCTTATCAGTTGGTGAAGCACATGCTTCATCAGAACAGAATTTAAGTGAACTTGTAGTTGATGTAACACATTCTCCTGTGCAATTAAGTATAATATTTGTACTTAAACTTCCAAAACTAGTATCTAAATTTGAAGTTGATGTTCTATCTATTCCTGCAAGGAAATCGAAATAAAGAACTCTTTACAAACTTGATCCTATATTAAAATCAAAACCATAATATCCTTGGAATATGAAACTGGTTCCATTATCAGATAATTATAATTCTTTAACAAAGTCTTTACTTGGTATAGTGAATTAATAAGCTCTAGTACTTGAACCATCATTTATATAATTAATTGTGTAACTTGATTCATCTCTTATCAAATGATCACTATTTTAATATTTATATAGTTTTAGAGACAGACATGATTCTGTATTTTCTCCTTTAGTAATCCCTTTTATTGTGGCATCTGAAAATTTAGGATCAGTATAAGTTATAGTTATATTTAAATCAATAGTGCCATCAATATAAGCTGTTGTACCCTTGAATGGGTTCGTTTAAGAGTCACCCAATTTAGCAGTAAAATCAAAACAGTTTTAGGCAACACATTCCCCTTTTACTAAATTACATTCTGATGGACATTATCCATTCACAAGTTCACAAGATGCATTAATTGTACTTAAGAGACAAAGTATAGTTAACAATAAAAGGATTTACATTTTTATTTTAATTATTGAAAATTTTTTGTAATTTGATACATTCAAAAATTGGTGATATTCTATTTAGGTATTTAATGATTTAATGTATGTAATTATAATGAATAAGAATTAAATGAATAAAATAATATAAACTAATAACATTCAAATAAATAATCAAGTTTCATGAGCATGTAATAATTACTGAGATAATTTATCATTATTATAAGAGGTTTTATACTTAATATTGGTTCTTTTAAATTTAAATTATCATTTCCAACAGATTTTCAAATATATCTTAATTGTCTAAGGGAAAGTCAAAATAATTTGAATAGAAAAAAAGCTTATTATTTTTGTGTTAATTGATTTTATTCTATCTAATAATCAATGGTAAAATTTTGAAATAAAAATTGATTATAAAACTTTATATATACAATTCTATTATATATCTATAAGAAATAAGAATGATTAGATATCAAAAAAATTATGAGAAAATAATTTAATTTTTTTGTAATTTTTTAATTCATGAACATGATTCATAATTATAATTATTATCATTCATCTGGATATACGATAGCTTGATATTCTATATTAATATGTTGCTAATTTAATATTTATGATAAAAAGATTAAGAAAATTGAAAATGATTAAATATTCTATATAAAGAGTATTATTATTTGAATAATATTTGAATAACGTCAAATTGTCAATTAGGTTCTTTCTTTATAAATATATCAATATTTAAGATAACAAAATTTTTGAACTCATAAATTATTCTCTAATTAAATTTTATTTACTTTATGGCCCATTAATTAGGTGTTATACAAGAAACATATTAAGATGACTTATAGGAATTAATCTCCAAACTAACAACTTAAAATTAGATAATAGATAAAAGAGGACCAATTTTAAAAAAGAGAAGAGAACTTTTATTAGGAGCTCTTAAAGATTTTAGAGAAGGGGAAACTAAATTATGTGATTCAAAAATATCATGTAGTACTGCTTTATTTTCATCAATACATGATGATACTGATCAAATTCAAAAGCTATAAGATGAGATAGCTCTAAAGGATTAATAAATTTAAGAATTGAAAGATTAAGTAGAGTCACTTCAATAAAAAATTCATAGAATATAAACATGTAATGATGAAATGCAATTTGAATTATAAAAACAACAATAGTAATAATAAACATTTTAAAGAGGAAACAAATTAAGTTAATCTAGTATTTTATATATTAATATTCTTAGTGATTGTACCTACTTTAACAAGTTCAACTGAAAAAGCATAAGCCACTATTAGTAAATTCGTATAACCTATATCAACAAACTCATTTAAATCAATTGATAGTAAAGAACCTAATTCAAAAGAAGATATGAAAAAAATGATCAGAAGGATTTCATAATAAGCATCTGCTTCAGCCTATATATTAGCTGCTAAAGGTGATTATACTACATTGGCTGCTGCTTAAGAAGAATTATAAAGTTAGAAGAGCATAGGATCCTAAAAATCTTTGTCAAATAAATGATTAATAATTTATATTAACAATACAAGATTAAAGAATCAAAATTAAGAATCTGAATTTTATGAATGATGACTACTATTTTTAATAGGTTAGGATGTTTCTGTATGTAATTTTAATGTACGAACAGCTGATAATGGATCCTTCTAATAGAATGTTCCTGAGAACTAACCACTACTTCTTTTGGCTGACATAGACATCTATTATTATTACACTTCAGTTATAATAGAATATCTCTTTAAATCATTAATTTTTTAATTTTATTCTTCCCCTATATCATTTTAACTATTATAATTAGATTCCAATTCAGCCAAATTTAATTAATAAATAGCATTTTTAACCATTTATTAACCAGTAGTTTATATTGCTTAAGTACTTAATTCACTATTTTAATCAATAAAAGGATGTTATAGAGCTTAAATTGCAGTGATTCTATTCTTTGCATTTTTATTCAACATCTTTTTTAATAAATCCTAATTTATATTTAATTAAATATACTAATGATTAATCTGTAATGTAATTTCCATCAAAAGGTAAATCTAAATCAATATGACAATGTCTATTTGATCTTAGTACTTCATCAAAATTCTATCCCAAAAATAAACTATGTCCTGTGAGTAATTTATAGAATATGCAACCAGCAGAAAATATATCAACTTTACAATTATATTTTGAATCACTTCTTGAACCTAATACTTCAGGAGCTACGTAACCAGGTGTACCACACTTTGGAAATAAATATCTTTTATAGATCCTCTTGATTACTTATCTAATAGTTCTGAAGTTGCAAGCCCGAAATCCACTAAAACTAATGAAGAATAGTCGTTTTTTCTTGCAAACATCAAATTATCTGGTTTTAAATCTCGATGAATTATCTATTATAACATATTATATATATATATATACTCTATGTGAATGAAGAATTTTTAAATTTATTAGTAACTTCTTCATTATTATCTATATACTTTATATTGGTAATCTTTTCTAAGGAAGAGTCTATATATAATTATTATTAAATAACACTTTTGCTTTCTCCAATTCTCCACTCAAACTCAAACCTTCCAAATATGATGTGACTACATAAAAAGTAGTATCTCCCTCATAAATTTCACTCAAAACTAAGAAATTATGATTATATTATGATAAAGTTCTTAAGATTTGTATTTCTGATTTAAATGCTTACTAAAGTATACTTTTTAATTACCATTCCATTTCCATTTTGTGAAAGCTTCAAAAATGATTTTTCAATTGCTTTAACAGCATAAACTCCTTTATCTAAAACATTTCTTGCACTGTACACCTTAATAACATATTAATATTAATACTTTTGCTGAACTTCCTTTACCCACCTAATATAGAGGTTAATATAAGTCTCCTATGCCTTCAAATAACACTTTTCCAGCTAATAGTTCTTTAAATCTAATATAATATGATATTAAAGAACCTTAATAAATCCTTAGCTTATGCATGAACAACCTTTTTCTTATTTTAATATGGAAATTAAAAGCATTCTAGCTCCTACTTATTCTTACTTATCTCCCAGTTTATTTTAGTATCTAGACTCAATTTTATTCTGTATTTAGGATTTTAGCAATCAGCGGTCTAATTTTTATTTACAATCTATACTATTCCCATAATGACAATCTCATCAAAAACTGTAATATTATATGTGACATCTTTAAAAAAGTGTTTTCTAATTCCTAAAAATTTGAATTTAGCTTCTGTATAGTCAATTGAATCCATTTGATAATTGAGTAGGTTTTTATATAAATAATTCAATTGAGATTGACATTTAATACTAAATAGCTGAATTCTTCTGCGTTTTTCTTTTCAAATAACCACTTGATCCTAATCTATAAACTAATCAAATTAGATTATTTCTTAATTTAAAATTCCATCTCCTTCTAGTTCCAAAAGTATTGTCATAATAACTATTTGTGATCTTAACTAGAAATATCAAAAAAACTTTAAAATAATTCATTTCTATTTAATAAACAACAAACTAAGAAACAAGATAAATTCAAAATTTTAACATAATTTAAGCCAATTATTAATAATTTGTATTGAAAATGATCAAATTTTATTTAATCTTAATGTCTTAGTGATTAATAAAATTGATTCAATAATTTCTTTAATTTTTATTACTAGAAAATGAATTGAATACAAAATTCTTTATAAATTAAAATGAAAATAAATCAGTTATTAAATGTGTTTACATTATTTTTTGGAAAACTAATCTATTGACTTAATTTTGATATAATCAAGAGCAACAATTATAATTTTTTTATATGTTTATATTATGCCCTTTTAATTTCTTTTTTATAATTTGCTTGATAAGAAAATTAAAATTGCTGTTTATAATAATATTAGTACATATACATCATATAAATTATGGACCCTTAATTAAATGCATAGTATGATATAACAAGAAAAGATTTACATGAGTTTATGTAAGAGTGTTGCTAATATTGTATATCAGAATATAAAAGAGGTTAAGAGGATGTTATTAAACTAATGTTAAAATATGCATAATAGGTATTAAAAACTATTTAAATATGTAGGAAAGTAATGGAGATTTAAGAAAAACAAACATTAATAGTTTACTTAATTATTTAATAGAGAGAAGAGATTAAATAATGGTTAATGGAAATTTTACACCATAAATTGAAAATTAGACTAATCATAATACAAGCAAGAAAACATTAATTTAAACATAATAAAATGAACCTCAAAAGTTTATAGTTATTAATCATGAAAGATTATAACGAATATTCGAAGAATTAAAATGATTTTTATTATTTTTGGAAATAAGTAATGAAATTTAGATTACAAAAACTAAAACTTGTTGAGTTTCTTTATTATAATAATAATATATTATAATCAATTTTGAGATTGATTTTTATTAATCTTCATTATTATTTAATTATTATAATGAGAATTTTAGGATTGCTAGCTTTGGTTTTAATAGTTGGATCATATATATATTATTGTTCATGGTTATTACTGAAAGTAAAAAATTTTGATAAATAAGCCATTTCTGCCTGAAGATCATTATTCATACTATTATTTCCCAGATTAGAAATATGTTTATTATTTACCTTCTCTTTTTTTGCTTTTAATATTATCAATGGTAATGTCTACTTTGGGATATATTCTTATAAATTCTGAAGTATTTAGTAAACCTTAGATGCCACCATGGATTAAATATGGTTATTAAGGACCCAAAATTACACATTAATGATTAATATTAATTTTTTTTAGAAATAAATATAGTTTTATTAATATCATGAAATAAAATCAATAAATTAATTAGTATTTACTAAAAAAATGAAATGCTAACTTTTTGAAAAAATTTTATTTTTAATTATAATTTAATGTACATTCATTTATATATTAAAGAATTAAAATAATTGAATTCATGAATTGAGTTATTGTAGTTGTTTTTGATATAGTATTATAATATTAATTTAATTCATTTATTATATAATGTATTAAAAGTTCGAAACTACTTCCTTCTCATAATTTAGATAATAATACTTTAATAATTTAAGAGAATAATCCTGTTTATTACCTGCCTTAGAAGAACTTTGTGGAGGATGTAATTAATTTTATTCATAATATTAGGGACTTAAGAGACTTTGAAATCGATCTTATAAAAATTGACAAAAAAGAACTAAGCTCCATTACCTTTATTTTTTGATTCATCTCAAGCTATGGATTCTATTTCCAATAAAAAGTAAGCTTTGGCTACAGTTTTTTAATAATTTGATTCAAGAGGAATAGGAAGAATTGATGCAACAGAATTGTTTTCAGTTATGGTACTTTTATCAACTGGAGAAGTTAGTTAAATTTTTTATAGTAAGTAACTTTTGATAAATGATTAGATATTGCAGTAATTTTTGGTTCAGATAAGACAAATCATATAACTTCAGATGAATTTTACTTTTTTATTGATTGTTTATTTAGAGGAATTTCTAAGGTATTAATTTGCAAGGGAGAAAACAAACCTATTAATTTAAACAAAAGATTGAATGATTAAGACATTAATAAGTTTATGTAATAGATTTTTAAGGGACAACAAAAAGTAAATAAAGATGAATTATATGCGTAATGATGATACTTACTATAAATAGATCTGTAAAGCAAAGTCAATAATTATTTGAGTTTATAGAATATATCTCAATATCAATGCAAACATCTATGGAATACACAAGATAATAGTCATTATTAATGATGAAAATAACAATGGAAGTTAAAAAATTGATGGCTTAGATGTTATCATAAATAGATGGATCTGCAAAAAAATGATATGTTATTATTTTATTTATTTAAATAATCAACAAATTTATTATTTTAACTTAAAAATATAGAAAAATATTAAAGTTAATAAATAAAGCAATCAAATATATCTAGAATTATCTTGTCTACTTAAAATATCTGCTTTTGTTGCAAAATATGACTAAACTTTCTTTTTAGCAACAGGAATGTCTACTTCTTTATTTGAAGTAAAAATATATTCTCCAGGAAAATGTATATTAATTAATCTTCTTGTATCTTCACTTACCATAACTTTACCTGCTTCTCCTTATGATTCCATTTTATTAGCAATAACTGCATCAATACCAAATATATCATATCTTACAATATCTGTTCCTATAATTCCACCATAGAATTATCCCTAAAATTAATAAATAATAATACTGTATGTATACCAATTCTCATATTCAAATCTTTAAAGTTAATCTCTTTTCTAACTCTCTTTATAATTTCTACCATTTCTAATCCCATTTCTAAGACATTTTTGGCTTCTTAACCAGGATGTCTTTATTCCATATCATTAATTCCCAATACAACATAACAATCTCCAATAGTATATACCTTATAAACATTCTATTATAAACATTCTTTATCAAATGATGTCATAAGTTCTCTTAACATTTTTACAACCTATTCAGCTGAAACCTTTGCTGAATATGCTGTGAATCCACTTATATCAGCAAATAAAAGAGTTGCATCTATTAAAACATCAGATAATTCTAATTTAATTTTGCTATTTTAATAGAATCTAGTTAAAATATGTGATGGTAATAAATTAGTTAATAATGAATCTCTTTATTCTTTTTTTAAATTTTCATTGGCAGCACTATTAAAATTTTTAATTGTTAATTCAAAATTATTATGTGAAACTATTACTAAGATAATTGTGGATAATACTATAAAAACTAATAAATTATTATGTTCATGCAATAGAAGTTAAACAAACCATGCAGCTTATTATAATAAAATATAGAAAAACATATACTTGAATTTTAATGATTGTTAATTTACAGCTGAAAATGCAAAGAAATATGCTTCAGCATTATCTGAAATAAGGAATCTCTATTAATTATTAAAAGTAACAAAAAACATTGTTAAAAATGCACTTACATAATAAAGACCAGTCAAAGCTAAATCTAAATTATGCATATTATATTTCTTTAATCTACTTGTAATAAAATATAATATTATTAAGTATAAACTTAAGAACATTCTAACAATATATATAGTTAGTCCATCTTATCCAGAATCAATCAATTAAATTTAAGCCTTAAATAATGTATAAACAATAGTCATTGGATAAAATATATCCTTTAAAGCAGATCTAACTTCTTAATAATATTATTCAAATTGCATTACTATATTTGCATCATTACATTTTTCATATTCAAGTGTTAATTTCTTATATTTAAGAATTTCTAAATCCATTACTTTTTTTACTCTTTCACTTTTTACTTCTGTTTCAGGACCATCAATATCATTATCAGAAACTCCTATTATTCTATTTTCAGGGTCTTTTTCTACCTATTTCATTTATATTTCATCTTCCTTTGTTTCTTCCCAATCATTTGTGTTATAATCAGTTTTTTAAATGGCTTAGGATTTAGATTTCCTATTTCTCCATACAATTTCAGTTAGAGAAGAGTATTCTTCTTTAATTGTTCCTTTTTTCATACCTCTTGTAGGTTCAGCTCCTTTATTTTTATTTTTTATTTTTAATAATTAAGAGCCTTACATAGGATGATTCATAATTTTAGATCTTCGACCATATTCTTTGGTAGTTAAATGATCATGAACTGAAGATGGAGGAGAGATGTCTTTAAATGTTTACTTTAATTATGTATTCCTAGAATTATTTGTTCTATGAGTATCAAAAGTGAGTTATCTTCCATTTTTCTAACCTTCAAAATATTTCTATTATGAATAATGCTTTTTTATTTATAGTTTCCTTTAAGTCACTTAATGAACAGTCAACATACCTTTTCCTTTGGCTACAACTTACCTTGTAGTAAATAAAAACTCAGTATCCTTTACTCTTTCATAGGCTTCATTTGATATTGTTATTCTACCTACTTCTCCAGTTGAACACATTCTTGATGCAGTATTAACAGTATCTCCAATCAATGAAAATTAAGGTTTATGATATCCAATTACACCTGCAATTACTTATCCATAATGAATTCCAATTTTAATTTTTAATTTAAATAATTTAACAACATCTTAATCTTTATATTCATATCTAAATTCAGATACTGCCTTTAAGAAATCTAATGACAGTTCTAATGCAATAACAGTTTCATTTTTCTTTTATTGATTCAATCCATCTTTATTATTTTCTATTTCTGTAGATTTCAATCCTGAACATGCCATATAAGTCTTACCTACTGTTTCAATCTTTTATACACCATATTATAAACATATTTTATCTAAGACTCTAAAAATGTCATCCAAAAATGTTACAACCTATCTTTGTTTAGATTAAAGTATTTTATCAAATTCACAAATTTCTAAAAATATAATCGATATAGATCCTTAATTTTCTTCTATTTCAGTTTCTTCTGATTATTCAATCTTTTCATATATAAATGCAGGTAACAAAGATTTCAAAATTTAATTAGTCTGTTCTTATTATGTTTATAAAGCTTAATCAAATAAAAATACTAATCTTTAAAATCGTTAAAACTAAAATTATATTATTTTTTACATTATAATGAGTATAATTAGATAACAAGTTCAAAAAGAACAAAAGAACATATAAAGTTATAAATTCTACTCTAAATGTTGGTGTCTCTTAATCTGAATTCACTTAAATATCATAAAAATTTGCTACTCTTATAGTGTAATTTATAAAAAATATTAATGTTAAAAATATTGGATAATATAAAGGTGGAGGAAAGATATCCCAGGCTAAAAACTATTAATATAATAATTGTCCAAAAGTGCTAAAATAGTATTAACTTTTATCTTCTGGAAGTGTAACACTTAAAAAATGATCTAAAATCAACACTACTGGAATAAAGAAATATGCTTCAATTGTACCCCATTTTATTTAAAATGATGCTAAATCTACTTATTTCTTTTCAACAATTTTAGTAACAAATAGTATTAATATCCAAATCACCATAAAAATTGCCCAAAGTATATTGAGTATTGTGTCTTCAACTGTCAAAAATGGTTGCCATGCTATTACACTACTAACTCTTAAGACAATAAAAAGAACTAACACTACTTCTCTTCTCTATTAATAATAGTATTAAACTTTGAATTGTCTAAATTATTTTTCATAATTATGATTCTTGAATACAAGTGATATTTTAGAATATTCACCATTAAATGATTAAGTTTTCTCACTTTCAAATAAAGATCTAATGAAAGGATCAATTGATACATTTTCAAATACTTTTTTTATTTTTCTGAAGAATTATCTATTTATTTTAATATGATTTAACATTTAAAATTATTTTACAGATTCTTATACTATTTTACCTGATTAATTTTTCATAGCATTCTCCATATATTTAACAAAATTTAATATTATTCTTGGAGTAAACATTAAATCTCTTGTTTATTTTATAATTTAATCAATTGTTATTATAATTACAACTCCTGTAAGAATTCCAATAATGAATTACCATTTGAATATGTTCCTAATTATTTAAACTCTTTAATCAGATTCTACAACAATAGCAAATGAAATTGTTAACAATCCTAATGTTATAATGAAATTCCAAATCATTTTTCCAAATGGAACATTAAGATGAATCATTTAAGAAGTACCAAATGCAAATACACAAAATAATTGAAATAAAAACATCAAATGTGCTAAATTATTTGGATCAGATGTAAAAAACATCATAAATTCTGCAAATATATATGTATTCATAAATCCACTTATAGCTGCTGACATAACTACTTCATAAAACA